AGGAAAGAAAACTAAATAGTTTCATTCTAGCCAGATGAAATCCTGGAAAGGTACTGCCAAATCTGATACAACATCCTAATTATGTCTTTCTCTGTGTTTGTGCATAGGAATCCCACCATCACCATCTCTTCTATCGGCATGCACTTATACTTGTTGTAACCATTGTAAATAATATACAGGGGGTGTTTTTCGTTAAAATGGGGGATCACTTTTATTGTGACTAGGGGATGGCATCCTTAACACCTAAATCAGAAAGTCAAAAGTTTATAAGAATTTTCATGGCCATCGTCAGGCTAAGGAGGTGAAGCCACTAACTGTTTTTGGTTATGTGGATGGCCCCAGAAGCATTTTGCTGTGGGTCTTGGAGACAGAAGATTTCTATGATTCTATCGTGGGGCAAGCCCCGGGGTCTTATCTTACATCTGTTCAGGATGCAGGGCCATTGGGACAAATAAATCAGATCCCAAAGGCACGTGTCTGGGAGGTTACTAATCCCTTAGTCAGATGCTCTGGTGGTAGGGTGACCAGATGTCCCGATTTTATAGGGACAGTCCCGATTTTTGGGTCTTTTTCTTATACAGGCTCCTATTACCTCCCACCCCCTGTCCCAATTTTTCACATTTGCTGTCTGGTCACCCTATCTGGTGGGCCTTTTACCACCAGCCCAGCAAAGTGCATCTGTTTTTTCTATTAACTTGTCATCAAGCATCCAGGAGGGGCTCCTTACTATTCGTATCTCCTTGAGTGCTCAGTTTGCGCTTCCTAAGTTACGGTTCAGGATGCATACTCTGCTCCGTTCATTTAATAGTATTATGGTTAATTGTAGTGGCAGTTTGCCACATTTTTGTAATAACACAATGTTAATGGGTTCTGCTCTGCACAGACCCAAAATGAATTTATAAGCAAGTGCTATGGAAACATCTCAATTACCACCGATTCTAGTGAGTCTGGTACTTCGCACATAGTGGGACCTTATGGGGCTGTTCAGACACTCGAGGTGACCATCATACCTCACCCATGGGTCAGTTACATCGGACCCATAGTGGTAAACGAGAATTTAAGACATCTCAGATCCTCGGTATCCCGTTAAAAGAATCAGTGTTAATCTGCAGGTATTAGTCAGTAGCATAGAACTTAAATGCTTGCCTTTTCTGAGATCTGCAGTGCTATGCTGGGAAGCATAGGTGTGAGGTGCGGAGCCCAGGTACTGGGGTCGTAGGAGGTGAGACCTTGCCGCTAAGATCATGGGAGGAGTTGGAGCTAGACTTGGGCTCGTAAGCTCCATAGAAACGGGGTCCCTAGCCCTTAGGGTTAGCAATTTAGGTCGGGAAGTGGCCACATTAAACCACCCACTTTCTGAGGCTCTTAATAAGGTTGGTGACCTTGGGTACGACTTGTCCACTGTCATCAAGGACTGGTACTGTGCCCAAAAACAGGACTCCGCCAGGATCCTGCAGGGTGTCGAAGGTCTGCAGGGTAACCTCTCTTGGGCCCTTGCTTGTACACAGGTACAAGGATGGATACAAACCGTGTCCAGCAGTATCCTTAGAGCAGGCTTTCAGGGAACCCTACCTATAGACCAGGGGTCGGCAACTTGTGGCACGCATGCCAAAGACGGCACGCGAGCCGATTTTTGATGGCACGCTGCTGCCTACCGGGGTCCTGGCCCCACTCAGCCCCCCCGCCCACCGATTTCTCCTGCAGGGGCAGGAGGCAGAAGCTTGGTCATGCCGGCAGCCAAGCTCCCCCCTCCCCCGCTTCTTCCCCCAGCATGGTGCTTTCCTGCCCCTCCCCCTCCCTGCTGCCAATCAGCTGGTCGCCCTTGCGAGGGGGAGTGGAGCGGAGCCGCAGCGTGCTCGCTGCTCCGGGGAGAAGGCAGAGAAGAGGTGGGGACGGGGCATATCCCCTCCAGCCCCCTGCCAGGAGCATCCCCAGCCCTCTGCCCTCACCCGTGAACCCCCCCCCACACACACACACAGAGCCCTCTGCCCTGACCCCTGCACACACCTCCAGCCCCCATTCTGACTCCTGCACCCCCACACATACCCAGCCCTCCCTCACCCCGTGCCCTGACTCTTACACCCCCCCCTCACATCCCCACCCTGAGCACCAAACGGGAGCTCCTGCACACACACACCCCACATTCCCACCTGCACTCTCAGTCTGGGGTCCTGGCTGCTGGCCCCTTGCCAGCCAGGGTCCCGCAGGCCCCGCTCAGCCCACTGCCGACCTAGGTGAACAGAACCCCAGGCCGGCAGCGGGCTGAGTGGGCCGGCAGCGTAAGATCAGCAGTTTAACTTAATTTTAAATTAAACATCTTAAACATTTTGAAAACCTTGTTTACTTTAAATACAACAGTAGTTTAGTTATATATATAGACTTATAGAGAGAGACCTTCTAAAAAACATTAAAATGTATTACTGGCACGTGAAACCTTAAGTTAAAGTGAATAAGTGAAGACTCAGCACACCACTTCTGAAAGGTTGCCGACCCCTGCTATAGACCTAAGGAACATCATGCGTAAGGATGTCTCTCCATTCAAGGTTCATCATGCCTGGTGGAAGCTCCTTGACTTTATGTATAACCCGCACACAAAGGTGGCCATTGCTCGAGTCTTAACAATTATGAACGGCACTGTCCAGTGGGCATATCTGCTTCTCCCTCTTGATATCATAGCAAATGGCACCATTGTGATGCCTACAGATCTCCCCCACTGGGTAATCCGAGAAGGGACAGACTATCATGTGATAGATGTCAGCTCATGCTTATGGGAAGATAATCAGGGGTAGCTGTGCCCATCGGAAGTATTCCTAGGGCAGCACATCTGTCTAAGCACAGATGAAGGCAGGTGTCATTACAAGCTGCATCCCAAGACATCAGAACATTCTCAGATGGTGGTAATCAATGACAATTGCGTGTGTCTCCGCAGTACCTGTAAGTCTCTGGTGGTAAACACATTTTATGTCATCAATAATAAGGTGTATCCAAATTTGTGCTTATGCTATGTGTTAACAATTAAGGGATGTAATATCGATTTTCAATCAGAGCAAATGACATCCAGAAACATCAGGACTTCATTTTACATGTATGATCATGTCAAGCCCATCAGTTTGGGCCTCTATACTTCGCTTATTAGCCAACTAATGGAGCCTCCTGAGCTAATTAGGCATGTGGATAAAGTGATGGAATGGGGTAGCTCTATCTTAATCCTCGTCCACCACTCGTCCAATCAAATAGAAGCAGTCCTAAAAAGGGTTAAGAAGTTTGCCGCAATCAGTAATTGGTGGAGACCTTTATTCTCCGACCCCAGCAAAGTGTCAGATACCTGGCATTTGCTTGCACATCCTTTGTCTGTTTTGTTTGTGTTGCAATGCAGGTGGTCGCAACATAAGTTTGGTACACGGAGGCACAAGTCTAGGTGTGCCAATGTGCCCCATGTAATCCTGTGTCGGCATCAGAAATCCCGACATAGGGTTCCTTGCTGGCAAGGAAGGGAACGTAGGGGGAAATCTTTGGTGCTTAACATCTTGGGTGTGCCATCTTGAATGCCCAAATAACTGGGAATCCATCTTGGCTGCCCTTCCCCCCCCCCCCGGTGTAGTTTCCCGCCCTTTCTACTGAAAGGCGGGAAACCAAGCAAACCATGTGACCTATGATCTGCCCAGTAACAGCGGGGCATATAAGGGCCTGCACAGCAGAAGGAAGAAACTACCCTTCTGAATGGGAGAGTCTGGAGGTGCTGCTGCTGCAACTGTTGGAAAGCACAGCAGACATCTCAGCTCTCTAGACTGTCTCAGAGGAGTACGCTGAGTACCGCGCTCTTTCATCTGATTGCGGGAGGGTAATTCTCACTTGCATGCAGAGAGTGAGACTGTGACACCAGCTGCCACTCTTTCACGGAGGACAAATACACACCCACGACATCGCAGGGGGAGTACAAGCCGAGTCATCGCTGGGGCAGAGCTGTCATCGTCTGCTCCTGAGGTCCACTCCTTACCTTTGGGTTCCACCTACCTGGACGAAGTCCAGAGCTGTCCTGTCATCATGAGGGTCCTCAGAGCTGTAAGATATAGTAGTGGTCCACTGATCCTACATCCTCTTACCCGGGTTCCGTCCTAGGGGAGGGAACTTACCCTCAGTCACAGTCAGCATACTGTCAGTCCTTTACTTACCTTATATCACCTGTTGTGGGGGGTCCTTGCTTTACATGTGTTCCTATTCATTTAGTTTACCTCTGGTTTACCTTGTTTAGAACTGTTGATGGTTTAATAAATACCTTGGTTGTTTTCACCCACACATCCTAGTTGGTTATTTTTTTTAAAGGGGCTAACAACAAACCCCGATGATAGATGCGGATATGGGGACATTCCTCTAGATTGGTTCAACAGCTCCACCCCGCGTTACATACCCACCAAGCCCCATCCTACAGACCCGCTCCACCCCGCGTTACGTACCCACCAAGCCCCATTCCTGCTCCACCCCGTGTTACGTACCCACCGAGCCCCATCCTACAGACCTGCTCCACCCCACGTTATATACCTGAGGGCCCCCGTGCCACAGACCTGCTCCACCCCGCATTACGTACCCACCAAGCCCCATGCCACATTCCTGCTTCATCCCGTGTTACATACCCACCAAGCCCCATCCGACAGACCCGCTCCACCCCATGTTACCTACCCACCAGGCCCCATGCAACAGTCCCGCTCTATCCATTATGTACCCACCCAGCCCCGTCCGACAGACCTGCTTCTCTAACCCCCCCTCCCGTTACGTACCTGACAGGCCCCAAGCCACAGTCCCGCTCCACCCTGCGTCATGTACCCAACTGGCCCCATGCCACATTCCCAGTCCACCCCGCGTTATGTACCCATCCCACCCCGTCCAACAAACCTGCTCCACCCGGCGTTACGTACCCACCAAGCCCCATGCCACATTCCTGCTCCACTCCGCATTAAGTACCCGCCGAGCCCCATCGGACAGACCCACTCCACCCTGCGTTATATACCCAATGAGCCCCATGCCACAGTCCCGCTCCACCCCGTGTTATGTACCCTGTGTTGTGCTCAGATGTTTTTTATTGTACAGCAACCCAAATGCAGCAATGGAAGAATGGGGCTGTTTAAGTTGTGGTCAACTGCCACAGCTATCCTTGGTTTCCCTGGGATCAGGGGGCAGGGAGAGGACTTACTAGCACTTGGCCTGAAGTGCAATGAAATGAGCAGTTCCTACCTCTGCTCCTTATTCCATAAATTTTGGTCATTGCAGGAGAATCCTCCATCCTCCATCAATCCTGGGGCATGAGTGCAGCTGGTGTAGGGGTACAAACTTGCCTGGAACACTGGCTCATTATCCCTGCAGCTAGCCTACCCTGCAGCATGCACTGCCCTGGCTTTACTGTTCCAGTACTTTAGCTATAGATAGGTGTGATTGCAGCTGGTGTCTCATTACCATGGAGTCATACTCTTATAGGGAGGTTGGTGTATGAAAAACAACCAGCATGCCACATAGAGCCCAGTCTGTTTCTAGAGCAGTGGGTGTATAGACTTTACTGAGATTATTTTACTCTCCACATACCACTCTGAAAGAAAGGGCCCAAAGCATCCAAAACCCAAGCTCCTGTTCATTCTAATGCTCACGCTCCCTTCCCTGTGTAAGCATTAAATGCTTGATCTGCCAAGGAGAGAGTGATGCCTGCCATGTTTTCCTTCTATGTAACATGGTGCTTGGCTGTAGCCAGCCTCTCTAAACTGCTGGAGTTCCATATCCTTTGGACCTGGGCCTCGGGGGCAAAACCAGTATTTCATTTGCTGTATACAGTGGCTAGAATTAAGGCTTTCCTTTAGCATGTTTCAGCTTCCCATGGGTACATGCCTCTTCCTGGGGGCAGCAGGGCTGGATTAACTAGGCCGAAGCAGACTGAGTCTTGGTGTTATTGGTGGCCTTCCTCCACCCAGTCTTCTGTTCTTGCAGTAGCAGGGCCTTAGCCAGGCTCTTAGAGCTGCAGTTTATGAAGTGCTAATGCCTGCTTCTCTTCACTCAGCTGCAGCTGCCTGCTTGAGATCCCTTTATATTTTGGCTAGGGTGGCCCATGCCAGCTGCTTTGTCCAGAGCTAGCTCCAGGCCACTCCTATGCCCAGGCCCATGAATGTTAGCATCAGCCTTTCATCAGATAAGCTCCATCTTGAATTGGCTGAAGTTTGGCACAGGGGGCGAGGAATCAGCCATGCTGCTGAAGGGGACATAGGGCTCATTTCCTGGCACTGTCCCATGGCTCACGGTGGAGCTGAGCTGCTGAAGCATCATCAGCACCTCTTGCTGGAAATGCTGCTGCTGCTCCTGCTGGCGCTCCATGCGGCACTGCCTCTCTAGCACTGCGTGCACTGCATGTGTCAGTTTCTGCACCTGTGTGTGTACAGCATCCAGCTTCTCGGCAATGCCATGGGGGGTGGGTGAAGGGGCCAGCATCTGCCCACCCCACACAGGGTTCTGATTGCCTGGAGAACATGCAGAGTTAAGCAAGGCCGTTTGAGTGCTGGCATCTTTGACCTGGAAGAAAGATCAGAAATGCAGTGACGGGCCATTTCCTATAGAACCAGCTTGGCACAGACCTCTTTATTCTGCATTCAAGAGTTAGCAGGTATGCATGTGAGATGAGGCCAGCTAACATCAGACAGCTGCATCCCTCTGTGATCTGATCTGACCTCCAATCCTATCTACCATTGTACGTTGCCACTGCTACTCTAGCCCGGCCCACCACCCAGCTGTGCCAGTGCACCTTCAGCTTGGCCCCTCTGTAGTAGTCTTGCAGTGTTCAAAACTGAAAGAGACGATGCCTTTTCAGAAAGCAGCATGAAGGACTGTATGCTTAGGCCTGCTAGGAAATGCCTCACTGGGGAGGGAGAGAAGCGGCTGTGGGACTCTCTTGATCTGCTAACCTGGAGCCTACATACATGACCTTTCTGGAGGAGGGCAACCACAACTTCTAGTGCAGATGTGGGCCTTCAGCCAGATTCACAGTGGGGCTGAGGCAGTGCTCCATGGAAAGGAAGCCAGGACCAGATACCCAATGGGGTGCACTAACAGCATCTAACGGGACACTTTAGAGTAGGGATCCTTATTAGCATAGCCACATGCTCCTCTTTCCCCAATCAGCAGCGTTCACTTCTGAAAGCAAGACTCCTGGGCAGGGCACAGATTGGGCTGGCCATCTGAGCAACAGTAGAACAGGGTGGGCCTAGCAGTGGAGCAGATACAGAACACCAGGCTCCTCTCAGATCCAGCTTTGCCTCTACCTGGCTGTTATTCATTACTCTGCTACTTACCCCAGAAATGCTGCCATTGGGACAGTAAATGTTAACTCAATCTGCCCCCTCAGCCTTGTATGTTTTCCCCATGCTATCTCTGCAACCTGACATTTGAGTCCTGGCAGAGATCAGCGTCCACTCAGAGTCATTAAGAGCAGGTGGCCATGCCGCTTACGGCTTTGTCCCAAGGAAGCATGACAAGCCAGCCAGAATGTGTTGTGGTGATTCATCCTGGTGTCCATGGCAACTGGATGGTTCATTCACTCGATGGGCTAGTGCCTACGGACTGTGCGCATCTTAGGTTACTTACATGTGCACTGCGGCTCATAGAGGCTGCCATGACAGATGGGTTTGCCCTGGGAGGCTGGTTGGCCGGCTGCACTCCCACCAAGAAGGGCAGGACAGTCGTCGAATCAGATGGACTGTGCCCGTTGTGAATGGTTGCCTGGTCAATGTCGGAGAATTACAAGCATCAGCCATGCACAGGATTCAATATTCCTTATTACACTGCAAGTGAGCCTAGAGCTCACGAGCGCCTGTTAGAGCCTCAGTTGTGCAGATTAATGTCCAAGTGTGGCTGAGTCCTGACCTGCAGCTTCGTTCTTGGGTTCTCCCCTCCCCTAAGCTCTGCCAATGCATCTCACTGCCACCCTGCAGCACCTCCTGCAATCCTTGTCTCTCTCCTCCCTGCTCAGCTCTGCTGCTGCCCCTCAGTCCTCCCCTTTCCTCTCCAGCACAGACCTCAGAATGAACAGACGTTACCGCCTGGGCCAGGGTCTGGAGCAATTGTGGGGACCAAACCTGTTCTTTAGAAGTCCACAGAGCATGGGTCTCTGGTCCGGCTGGCAGTGCTCAGCCCAAAAACTCATTTCTTTCCTGCTCTCCTTTTCTAGATGGGGCACAGATATTGCCAGTTGTCGTGCAGGATGGGTCTGGGGCCACCAGAAACAAAGTCCTTGTCACAGTGTCCAAAGTGGGGGGAGTGCATCTGGGGAAGCTTCCACCCACGCTATGGAATGGTACCGGTGGAGCCTGCGGGTCGGAGAGTACCTAGGACACCTGCCGACAGAAGCCCTCAAAGGACTTCCCCCAGCATGGGGGAGGGCAGCCTTTCCCCCTCTGCTAAGCAGGGATAACTGAGGCACAGAGAAGGGAAATGATTTGTCCAAGGCCACACAGAGCCACAAACAGATCTCAAGGATCCTGAGTGGGCAAAAATCCAACCTGCTGAGGCAAAGGGGGAGGGGAGCCTTGGGCCCAAGTCACCAAGTTCATCAGACTGCATGAAGACAGCCGCATTCCCCACAAGCTGGCCCCGTGTCCTCCCCACCCAACTCCACGGAGCAGGTCACTTGAGACGGCACCTCATAGAAGCCCAGGATCTCCTTGTCCCTCCTGCGCACTGGAGCCTGGGTTCCCACAGAGCCTTCTCCAGTTGGGGACGCAGGGAGTGTTACCAACCCTTTCAGGCCAATTTAACTGTAACCTGATGGGTCGCTGCCTGAGCGGATCCCCAGTCTTGCTGGGCTGGAGAAGGGGTTTCTAGCCACAGGACGGCCAGTCTGCCTCTTCCAGCCCTGTACCTTTTTCTGGAGGTGGATGGCCCTGTCCACAATCTTCTTCTTCACAATTAAGGCTGGATTCCTGGCAGGCGACAAGAACATCCTGCCCCGGGTGTTCGGCTGCTGCTGCGCCGTGGCTGATGGGAGTGGAGCCGGGTGGCTACCCACAGCTGAGGTCCGAATCCCAGAGCAGTCGTCACCTGGATGGATTGACAGAGTAACCAGAGAGAGAAGCACTTTCAAATGAGACCCTTGAACTGAGTGCCAGCCTTTCCCCAGCCCCACAGAGAAGTGAGACCCCTCCATCTATAGGGACTAAGTCCTTCCAGCTCCACCATGCACTTTCCCCCCACCTCAGCTATGCTCCAGGGCCTAAGAGTCCTGTCCAGCCTGCCTGGGTTTGGAAAACAGGGATGTGAGCAGAGACCCTTGGTACTGCTTGGCAACTCACCAGGCTGCTTAGAGAAGTGGAGAGGCCTATCCAAGACTAATGGACAACGAATGAGAAAGCCAGGCCTTACTGTTAATAGGGGATAGCTGTGCCGCTGGAGATGGGCCCATGGGCACTGTAGGCACCTTCCCAAACTGCCCACTATCCTTCCACAGCGATGTCACGCTGACTATTTTGATGCCATCCTTGCAGTCTTGGTTATCACGGAGGTGTGGCTCCTTGCAGCTCACGGTGGCTCTTCCGGGGAGTGCTGGGGTCCTGGGACCTGGCTGCCTGCTGCCTCTGGGCTCCGCCTGCTTGTTCTGTTCAGTCTCATTTTCCTGCAGCAAGTTCCAGAGCTGCTCATCCTCCCAGCCAGCCCGGTTGATGGCCGTTCTCCTGCTCCCCCGGCCTCCAGCTGGTTGGAAATGGGAGGCTCCTGGAGGCTGTGCCGGCTCCACATTCTTACGCTTGAGGAACAGGTAGACAGCTTGCGGGGTCACCCGGATATTGTCCAGCTCTAGGACCTTCTTGATTTTGCGGAAGCTCAGCCCGGCTTTGCGCAGCTCCACTATCCGCTTCTTGGCATGGTCATCCAAGCGGCCCATCGCTCACTCGGCAGGACAAGGGGCATGGATCAAAGCCCCTCCCAATCTGCTTTTTTGTGCTAGTGTTCTGTAGCTACATCCTTAGTCGGGATTCCTGCTAGCGCAGCCAGCTGAGCCATGTTCCTCCCACGAGGACCCTAGTGACATTACTCCTGTCCCAGAAGCCAGTTAAGGAGACAAGGCACTTGGTGGGTAGTAATAGAGGTAGTATCTGTGGCACAAGAGGGCATGCCATGCAAGTGAAGAGGTTAAGCCTCTGCTAGTTTTGTGTCCCAGGGCTGCCTATAGTAGCCATGGCCCTTTCTGGAGTCACCACAGCTCCAGACCGATAGCGGCTGCAGGATGCTGTCCTGGTCATCAGAGACATAGAAGGATCCACTCTTTTCAGGCTTGCAGCTCCTTGTGGGAGAGGAACAGGAAGGAAGTGACACAGCAGTGGAGTGTCTCCCTTGTCAAAGTGGAAAGAGATTCAACTTCCAGCCCGTTGGAACGAGAGTGGCAACCCGTATGTCCTGGGCCGGTCACGCTGAGGGGGTAAGTGGCAGGCTAAATCCAACTTGCTAGTGTCCCAGTTGGAGGGTTGGCATATGTCTCACATACCAAACTGTGGATCAACTTGGGCTCAGCTAGCTGTCTTCATCCTATAAGCAAAAGAAGAAAAAAGGGGTGGAGTGGAGTCAGAACTCTTGTGCAGCCTCTTCTTTGAAAGTTGTTGTTTAAACAAAAAAGATCCTCTAAACTCCTTTACAAACAGCAAGGAATGTTTCCCATCCACTAGGAAGCCCCTGTGCTATTTACCAGGTGTCACATCACTATTAAAAATTGTTTGTGCTATCCCAGGACCTTTACAAGCTCAATTAGCCTGGGCATCCCGGGCCTGTCATATCAGATGGGACTCGGTCACTCTGTTTGGTATTGAGTATGTGAACACCCTTTTTTGGGGCTGGGGGAGAGAAGACAGTGGGGGACCCCACTAACTGTTGGGATGCCAGCCAGGAGCTGTCGTGGCAGAGTTCAGATTTTGGTTCTTGAGTGCATGTGGTACCCTACTTGCTGGAACTGGCCAGTTCAGAAGTCAGTCGAACTCCAGCCCGACAGCTGTGGCTCAAACCCTAATCAATGTTTTTGCAGCTGCTTACATTAATCACTGGCATGGAACTGCCCTGGCTCAGACGAGCACAGTCAGCAGAACCCCTAGCACCCGGTTGCCTGGCTCTCCAGTAAATCTCAGTACTAGCACTGCCAGCTGACAGGATTCCATATGGAAGGTATGGCAGGGTCATTCAGGCAGGTCACAGCAGGGAGGCAGAGTCAAGCTGGAGCTCTGTAACCCTTTTCCTTTAAGCCACAAGACACCTTCAGTGAGTAAATCATCACTGTGTGCTGCTTCAGAGCCTTCCCTTTAGGTTATCAAGCTGTTCAATTCTTCACCTTTGAAAACAAACATACAATTAACTAATTATCGACTGTAGTAGAAAGGATCTCAGATGCATGTAAGTTCAAAGGCAAGTGTAGATCTTCCATATACCCATCATAACAGTCTCAGGCAGGGACTCTAGGGGTAATTCCCAAAACAGCAGAATAAACCATCACATGTGAAGGGGAAGAGGAAATACTCTAGCAAGGGGTTCACCTACAGAGGCAGTGTGAGGTGAGATTGGGTGCGGAGAAATCCCCAAGTCACCAGTATTGAGTGCCCGCAAATTAAGAGTGCAAGGCTTGGATTTTTATCTGAGCAGGGGTTGATTAAGACTATACTGGACCAATGCACCACCAAGCTTTGTATGCCCCACCTCAAGCACATCAAGAAAGATACCCCACAATTAAATTTCACTGCCCTACCACCAAGATAGCCATACAACTCCCAGACGCTGCCCATCTCCCCTGCACACCCCTCCTCCAGCTCCCATCTTGGTGAGACCCAGGGTTGTTGTAAGAAGCTCCCTACACCCAGCTTCTCCTCAGAATGATTCAAAAGTCCACTGTCCTCAATGGACATATTTCCGCTGACTTCAGTGGGCTTTGGCTCAGGCACAGGGTGCTGCTGGGCAGGGCCGGCTCTGGCTTTTTTGCCG